GCTTTCGAAAAATTAAAACAAGCATTAACGCAAGCCCCTGTGTTGAAATTTCCTGAAAAGGATGAAAATTTAGAAATTTCAGCGGATGCTTCGGATTATGCGGTAGGTAGGAGCGGTACTTTCGCAAAATCAGCAGCCCGTGGCATTTTTTAGCCGAACTTTAAATCAAACACAAAGAAACTATTCCGCGACCGAGAGAGAGAGGCACTTGCAGTTCTGTTAGCAGTGCAAAAGTTCCGAGTCTATTTTGGAAAGGCGCCGATAACAGTATATTCTGATCATGCGGCGGTAACTAGATTGTACTCTGGAAAAAATTTATCCCCAAGGTTAATAAGATGGGCACTCAAGCTGCAAGAATATAATCTGGTAATCAAGCATACCCCCGGAAAGGAAAATATCGTAGCAGATGCCCTATCACGAATTAAATTAGACGAACAGGGTAATACCGTAAAAGTTGCAATGCTGACAGCGTGTACAATAAATTCCCGAGAAACTGTAATAACCGAACTGGGTAAGGATCCTGAGTTTGGAAGTATTTATGAGTATTTGAAGGATCCTGAAAATTTTAGCCACCAAGATATTGTGGCGATAAGAAATAGGGCGGCCCATTACGAACTAATAGATGGTCTATTATTTTATACAAAAACTACGAATTCCAACAACGAATTTCGACCTGTTATCCCAGCTAGTCTTAGATTAAATATCCTGCAAGAGCTCCATGACAGCCCTTTAGCTTCTCATGCTGGTATTCGAAAAACTACTCAACGCGTACGCGAGGCAGTCTACTTTCCTGAACTGCAAAAGTTAACAAGGGCGTATGTCCAGTCCTGCCCAACATGTCAAGCCGTTAATTATATTAATTTCCGCCCGGCCGGGTTTCTAAATAGTATTAAATCCGAATTTCCAAATGAAATAATCGGCATCGATTTATTGGGCCCTTTCCCAAAAAGTCAGTTAAATAAAAGTCGCTATATCTCCTTGTTATGGTTGATCATTTTAGTAAATGGACCGAAATTGTTCCCTTAAAACGAGCCTCCGCGAAATTAGTTACCGATTCTATTTTAAATAAATATATTTTAAAATACGGGGCGCCCCTAAAAGTTATATCGGATAATGGTCCTCAATTTGTAAGTAATATATTTGAAGACATGTGCCAAAAACTGGGCATACGTCATTTAAAAATGGTCCCGTATCGGCCGCAATCAAATATAGCGGAACGGGTCAACAGAAATATAGTGAAAATTATCCGTAGTTATGTTAAAAATTTTCATAAAAGCTGGGATAACTATGTCAATGAATTTGCTTTCGCCCTTAGGACCGCAAAACATGATACAACGGGCAAAACTCCTGCTGAGTTATTTCTAGGCAGAAAGATTATAACACCGTTAGATAAACTATTTTATGTGCAACAAAGAGCCCCAGAATTTAAAATGGGTGATATAGAAAAACTAATAAAAGAAGCAAAAAAGAATACGGAAGTAGCACAAAGAAAACAAAAATTGTATTATGACTTGAAACGACGGGGAGTAACTTATAAAGTAGGGGATGAAGTACTAAAAATTAAGCATTCACTTTCTTCAGCACCAGAAGATAAAACTGCCAAATTTTTTCCACGCTTTGAAGGACCATATGTTATAGAAAAAATAACTCACGCTGTTGTAGTGTTAAAGGCCAAGAAATGGTGAAACCTGTTCCGCAAACATTGACCAATAAAACCTACTTCTATGATCGTAATAAAATGCAAATCTTTTCAGATCTTTTGCAGGATCCGGTACGGCAGACACCGCAGGTACAAGTTCCAGAGGTGGGAAAACGACAAGTACAAGGGCAAGCCAATGAGAGACAGAAGCAAGTGAAAAGAAAATTGCCCCGCGGAAAAATTGAAGGTAACAAAGAAAAAGAAGCCGTTCCACCGTCCCAAAAACAGAGTTCACGAACACCCCCAGAATGAAGAAGGGAGAAGGACGACGTATGTGGAAAAGACCGGGAGAAAGGACGGCAACTATAACCCGGCTGTGAAACGGAAGATTGACTCATCCGACAGAACTCTCCGCAGCAAAAGTCGCCGAACTGCGGAAGGGCCATCAGCGGCGGAGGAAAAAGTACAAGAAAAATTTGAACGGCCAACAACGAGGTCCAAGCAGGATCACGACAGAAGTTTCCCGGTTCCACCAAGACCAGCTGCCTTCAAACGGCCAAGACCACAAGCAGAGGACAGAAGGAAGATGTTCAAGGGTGGCCGTAGTGGTGAAAAACGGAAGCTTCCAGAGGAAAGCACTGAAGGGCGAGCCCGTACAAGAAGGAGGATCAACCAAGCTACGGTCTGCAGCACCTTTAAAGACTGGGCCCAGAAAAGGATGTCTGAATATTACAAAGATAAGTAAAATTTTATGTTACTTTACAAACTTAAGTTAATCTTTCATTCTTACTGCAAGTGGCAGATTTCAAGAAGTTTTACCTCATGCGAGGTCTACCTTTATCGCCAAAAGGGCGAGAAATGAGTTGTGACCGATTTTCTTATTATGTTTTTCAATTACTCGCGCGTAAAACTAAAGTTGATGTATAATAGCGTTGTGTAAAGACTTAAATATTGTAAAAAGTTATTGTATAAATTTTATTTAAAACATTCTAGCAAGAAAGAAGTTTTAGTCTGAAAGACTTTTTGAAATGTAGTATTATTTCAATGTAGAAAGAATTGGCACTTGCTTTGAAAAGAATAGAAGTTAACAATGTACTACTAATGTATGTTTTCAAATGTGTAAAATTAACGGCATCTTGATATGTTCTTGTATACATGTGAACTGTTATTTTGAATGTTTAGAAATACCGTGATATGGTAAAAGTGAAAGTAATGTTAAAAAATTTGTTATTCGTGTGACTGTAAAGATTAAATCATGGTGAATATGTGTTAAAGGTTGAATGATGTAGTTAGGCTCTCTGACGCTACACTTTAGAGTTAGCCACTTTCAGAATAGTACCTCAGGGTCTAGAGTTGAAATTAGGGTGTGTTAAGAGGTCTCGTATGTTGAATTTTAACACGTTAGTGTTTTGATTGTAGGAGGAAGTGTTGAACACATAGACAGAAACACATTCGTGTTTGGTGTTTTGTTTTTACAACACATGTCAGAGAGCACGGGGAGAGATAATTAAAATAGTCATGAATGAAATAAGAATGTTAAGAAAAGTATATTCTATATGTTATTTGCAATGTCATTCTGTAACATTTCATTAAACTAGTTTTCCTTCCAGATCTCTGGAAGGAACCAGAATTGAATAAAGCTCCTGTTTAGATGCAGTACAGATGAAAAAGAAAAAAGATTGTTGTATATTCCGGGAGCTGCTATTGTAACAAATTTCTTTCTTTTAAAATTTTCTAGTTTCTAGCTAAGTTTTGATTGTAAAAGGTTGGCCTCGCGTTAGTTTCTAGAGCTAAAAGTTTTCAACAAGGTCGTTTTAGACCTCAGTTTCAAACTAATTAACTCTGGCGGGAAGTGGGAAGTATGTAAGGATCTTAAGTTTTACTAACGTTTATTTTATTTTAAATCTTTACTATCACTTCTTATTTTCTACTTCCGGCCAGAATTATAAGCGTGAAGGAGTTTTTATGCAAAGTTTGTCTGGCGAACGCCAAGTATTTAAGTGTGGCCTTTTTGCCAAGCAGAAGAGAGGAAGCCGTGAGTTCGAAGCAGGCCGCTTACCTTAGAAGTTACGCAGTTGCTACTTTGCCTTCCAGGCCAGAGGTTTTAATCCTCTTGATAAATTAAACGTATTGTAGTGTTCACAGTCTCTGTGCTACATACGCTTTCCTGTTATTATAAGGCCAATCTTATTCTAAAGTTAAATTAGAGTTTAGTTTTATTTTGATATCTTTTAAGTTAGACCCCGAGTGGAGGGTCATTGTATTCCGAAGTACGGAAGTCATTGTATATAAAGAAAAATAAAGGGTTTTGTATACCCTTCGTCTGTATCCTGTCTACTTACTACAATTAGTGAACATAGCTTTAGTAAGCTCTCTGTTCTAGTCAGGTCATTGTATGTTTCCGAAGAAGGTTAGAAGAAACATTGAACGAAGGTTCCAAGTATTTTGTTTATAGTCTTTCTTATATTTTGTTTTGGAATGAATTTAAATAATAGCCTTATGATGACTTTTTCCATACTTTGCCTAAAGAACATTTGTCATTCTATAGAATGCCTAGGTATTCTACATATTTCCTAGGTAAAGTATGTAATAATTATCATGTTTCACACTTTGCCTAAAGACGCCAGGCACTCTATAAAATGCCTAGATCTATTCTATAGAATGCTGGCTAGATCTATTCTATAGAATGCTAGATTTATTCTATAGAATGCTGCCGTTTCATACATTGCCAGTATCACATATACAACATTCCAAATAGTACTGAACTTTATAACTAGTGCATATGTAATATTCTGTATATTGTAAATATTAAATAATGGTACATTGTCATTCTATAGAATAACATAAGATATATTTCTAAGATATATTTAAGTATAGGATATATTTCTACTGTATAAGATATATTTCTACTTTACATTTCCACTCTGAATTAAACACAGATTTAAATGAAATCCATATATATATATATATATATATATATATATATATTATGTCCGGCGTTTACTTATTTTATCTTTTTCAAGCATTGAAGACGCTCGAGAGTGACTGAACCACTTAAAAATGCGTCTCTTGATATACGATGACTTAATCTTTCAACAAACATGCATTATCTCAGTCATCATTTAAGCATGACACTCGAGTTCATTAAATGTGACTATATTTATAGCAAGAATTACTAACTCTAAAAATAAAATCTTCTCGAAACTCAAATTTCAATATAATTCTGATAAGGAATTATGATTGATTTATTTCTTAAATAACGCAAAAGACTTTTTAGGGCAAAGTTCAGTTTCATTATCAAAGATTATTGGTATCATCCAACAGGTGTTCTTTTTTTTACCGCTTTTAAAATTAAGGATAACGCCATCAAGACGTTGTTGGTTCTCACAGACCTCAACGAAGAACTTTCCAGGATTAACTGAAGGAAGATCTTCTGGTTTTAGTTCGTAAGAAAATAATTCAATGATTTCTTAATTTTATTTAAACTTTTTTTTCATAAAATTTGTTTATTCTGTACAGTTAAATGCTTTAAAAACTGATAAGTTTGTATAGTTATTTATAAACAAGCATGTATTGTAAAATAATTTCCTTGTTTATCTAATTATTAGCTACCTCTAGCAATTAGCTAGTCCAAATAATTTAGCTATTTCTTTGATTATTCGGTTGTATTTATTATAATTGAAAAATTTTTTTTTTATCGTACAGTGGTTGTTCGGACATTTTTAGACGATTTTCATTGTATTTACAGAAATATTTTACCTACAGTTTGTGTGTTTTAAATGTTCTGTTTTATAATCCTTATTCTTCCCCATTTTTCTAATCAGTAATTTCCAAGGCAATAAAATAAAGCCTCTTGTACCGTCGGAGGAGATATTTCATCCCATTCCTTTTGACCAGCTTTCAAAAGTCCAAGTTGCTTTCAAAAGTCCAAGTTTCAAAAGTCCAAGTCAAGGGGACTGACTAAAGCGGAAAACTCTCAGGAGATTTAATAGGGATATGAGTGAAGGGTATGGCTTTGATTCCATTTTTTTTGCCCAGGAAATAAACGGTGGATTTTGACATGCGGCTGTTTGCATTCTGTTGATGCAGTTCTATTGATTGATGGCTCTGTGTATAAAAGGAAGGTATTTCATATTGGAAAATTGGGTATAAAATATGCTCCCCATAATATGTGGAGAGTTGATCTTAATATATTCCTCCACTCTCTTTATATTTAATTTGCCGTTATATGAAAAAAAAAGTAACAATCATAAATCCTTTTCAGAAACTTTCTTTAGATGCTTTAAATCATGCTTTAAGATTTCTGTCGTGTCTTTGATGATAAAAAATGGATCTCTTTGGTCATTTAAAATGGAAAAAATGGTCATTTAAATACACCCTAGACCATCTATTGTGACAGCATTTTTCCATTTCTGATCGATTTTTCCATTTTTGATACATGTTTCACATATTCTGCAGCGCGTTCTGCGTTTCGGAGATAATATCGTGCAAAAAGACTATTCACCTTATGTTTTTTTCCCCGCCTTTTAATGATTAATGGTTAATGATTCAGATAGGCATTAACAACTTTGTTTACAATTGAAACTGAGCATTTTAAGGATTTTGCAACTGTCTTTGGACTTGGCGTATTTTTTTAATATGAAAGATCTTACCTCTAGAACATTCGAAACATTCTGTTTTTTCTTTGGAAACGACTTTACACATGAACCCAAATTTTAACGTTTATTTTCCTTTGTTGTTGACAATATTACGTATCGTAGCTTTAAATTTCGTAAAGCCATGCCTTTCACAGCGTTTTTTATGAACTAGATATGAATAATTTTCTTTGGAACGAGCACAAATACAGCCTTCTATCGATTGCTTCTTTAAAAGCACCACTTTGCATGAACACAAAACTGTCAAACTTTCAAAAATATAGCTTCAGTTAAAAAAAGAATTCCAAGCATACGATTTTTTATATCAAAGCAAAGTTCGTCTAAACATGTGCGAATAGCCCCTGTATTATTTCATATTTGAAATTGTCTTAATTTATTATAATATTAATAAATAAATTATCATAATTTATTATTTAATATTTGAGAAATTTATTTTCAAAATACAGGAAGACCTCTCTTGCAGACTACCTTTCGTAGATAAACCTCTCTAAAAATTATTAGAATAGCTGATAATATAAACAAATATTGGTATTGATATACTACTATAAAAACTTCTCTACGACAGGCATTCTTTGACCTGATGGAGATAATCAATTACATATATTCACTGCCATCGAAAAGATTTGAATTTCTGTATCAGCCTAAAATATTCCCATGTACTATATAAATGAAGAAATATTTCACCAACAGAAAACTGCTTTTTCTTGGAAAGCAGCTTTTTATACATTTTTGGAGCCGTAAATGGTTCTTAATATGCTTGAACTACTTAGTTCATTTTCTGTCTGTGAAACTATGCTAAATAGATTACCCTAACTACATTTTTAATAGAAATTATGATTTCATGACTGTTTATAACATTGATGACACGTATCTTTATCATCATTCAATAAGCACTAAATCATTATTTTTCAAAATTTAAAATACGTAGGGTAATGGAAGCTTAGAATAGAGGGTAAAAGTGCTGAGATCTGTCACTACTTTAAGTGAAAAAAGAAAACGCTGCTAGTAACAGACAATTCATTTTCACCAAGACGTTTCGTTGGCTTGGATTATGACAAAGCTATCTGGCTAAAGGTACAGACATCTTTGTAGATAGCTTTTTGAGAAAAACGACCTTATATTTCCATTATACATGGAGAAATCACGAAAACTGTCTGTCATGAGACGTCTTCTGGAACTGAGCTTGGGACCGAGCTTTCACCGTTTAATGACCTCCCCTCTCAGCCGGTAGGCAAGCTACCCAAGATGCTTAACCCTTTGTAGGCCAAAAACTTCCTAGGCGGCCTTTCATTCAAACAACCACAACCTCCCGAAACGGCCGAGATCTGGATATTGTTTTCTTCCCTCCCGCTAAGGTATGCAATAGCGAGTGCAGTTAACCCAAATGAATTGTATCGGTTTATTGCAGACAGCTTGTCCTAAAAGGCTAATGGAAGCTTTTTTATTAGGAAGTAGAAAGGAAGCCATTTGAATTCTTTATACCTCTTTGCGTGTCCTTTTCACACCTTTTTGGACGGGAAGGGGTGGAAACTGCTGTGAATCTCGAAAGGAATTTGTGTTTTTCAGTATTTTAATTATACAGGTTAGCGAAGGCTTAGATTTCCTAAGGGTTAAATATGTCAGTATTAAGGTGAAAGTGAAATGGTCCTGGATGACGTTAGTAATTTTTTATATTTAGTTACATTGTAATACCCTAGCTAAAATAGAGTTCTTTTCGAGCTAGAATATTGAGGAACTATTCGCCGAGCTCTTGCAGTGTAAGTAAGAACTCCGGTTTATTCCAACTCAAAATAAATTAACAGATGACGCCTCTCGGAGGCCTCCAATTCGGCTTTAACTAAAAATAGAAAATATATAAAACTAACAAATACTAAATGGAGCTAATTAACTGAAGCTGCACAGAATCAGTTCTCGGAGATGGCCCTTTTCGAAGGATCATGGGCTTATAATAGCATGCAGATATTAGGTACGGTACTTCAGTGAGTGTACTGGCACGCAGTAGGGAAAAGGTCATGCTCTTTCAAGTTCAGGATTGAGTCCCGAATTGGGCCTGACCTGTGTTGAAATCCGCAGATAGAATTCTCCAGATGAGATTAATATCAGGGGAGAAAAATACATGTGCGCTTTGCATCTGGGTTCAACCCGTGGATGGCGTGAACTAATCAAGAGAAGGAATCAAGAGCGAGGAAGGATAAGCACAATACAGTATTGAGGCTCCAAGAGCCCGCTGGCCACCTCAAGCAATCTTCAAGGCCCGTCAGACTACCCCAGTCGATTGATGGGGGTTTTCCCCCAGACAGCCGTAAAGATCAAATCATATAGCTCCACCACAACCTCAGGATAAACATATGGTTCCTGCCGAATCCGAACCTACCCGCGAATAAGCGGAGATTCTAGTCTTGTGGAGTCTGATTTTATACCCCCGTGGCCGAGATTGCCTAAGTACGTATCCTAGCCAGTTGTTTTACAGGTTTTACCAGCGGCGACTTTCGAGAGGGGGGGGGGTTATAAACATGCATACAGGTCCAAATACAGGACAATTTTGTTTAAGAAAAGGAAAAAAGAAAATAAAGAGTGAACACGTCTGTTTCCATCTTTAAACCTAACGCTGGAATGATGTTTCAATTACAACAGTACACTGTTTCAAGCAGACAGGCTTTAGGTTGGGCATCAAAAATGAATGAACAGTTTTGAGAATAATGGTGTTATGCTGTTTTAGTTTATTTCAATAGTTGAGTAACTGAGGAAAAAAACACAAAACAAAATGTAGAAATTTATAGATAAGAATTAACCCATTTCTGCAGCAAATGCAATATCCGAGATATTATTTCAAGTTTAAGAACCAAAAGAAAAGTTCTTTTTTTTAAAAAAAAATTCGGATCGTGATAGAGAAAAGGTGATGCATCAGAACTGCAAACTGTGAATGAAGGCTTAAATATACAGATAAAGTAAGAAATTATATTTCACCTATGACGTAACATGAGATAAAAAATTTCTTTATTACGTAACATAATTTTTTATTCCACATGAACATATAATTAGTGAAAAAAGTTTAAAATATCGTAAGAATCGACAGTCTGTTTATTAAATGATGACATTAACAGAAATACTGTAATATTATGAAAAAAAAAGTATGATTCCATGAGACGGACATTGTCCAATGTCATGCGATCTATTATTCTGAATATCTCTTTCGGTGGAATTGGGTTGTTTGGAAAGTAATTTCGTTTTTTCCCAACAGAGAGGTTAGTTGTAGTTTTTCACAATCAACTTGACACTTAAGCTGCATAATCATTATACATATAATTTGAAAGCTAATATAGCAAGACTTGTTTGTGAAAAAGTTACATTGAGTCTACGCAGTAGTTTTTGGTTGGTGCCCTTTGAAATATGGCAACTGAAAAGCAGCATTTTCGGCATATTTTACTTTTTACAATCGAAAAGGTAAAAATGCTGTTCAAGCAATAAACAAATTATCCGATGTGTACGGGGAAGATGTATTGACAGAATGCCAGTGATAAAACTGGTTTGAAAAATTTCGATCAGGCAGTTTAGACCTTAAAGATGAACTCCTCTCAAATACCACCACACCACACGACAGAACTTTCGGCTCGCTATATATTTAAAGTGCGCCCATGCCGGAAGAACACTATACATTTACAAGCATAACTACCTCCTCCGGCGTTTTTAACTCAGGACCTTACGGTGCTGAAGGAGGCTTCCTTAACAACTATACTATCTAGGTGTCCTGTATGTAAAAGATTTTTAGTACATATTAGGATTGGAGAAATGATCTAGAAGTGAGGAAAATTATTGTGATAAATCAGTTTAAAGTCTGAATGGTTATAGATTTACAGTTTTCTACATTTGTATACCAAATTTAAAGAATTTGCAAATTATGCCTATTTTTATGAAAATTGCCGAACTAAAGGTACTAATTATACAAACGAAGAATTGTGCAAATATTCAGACTCGAAGAATACGTAAGCGTACACACGTACTATGCGCACACGTGCGTGTCTGCGTAGCTATGATCTTGCGCACGACGAGTTTTCGGCGATCTGTCTGCTCGTATTCCTTCACGGCATTCGCCATGTGGGCATATTTTATAAGTTGTCAGGTAAAATGTGTAACAGCTAACGTATATATGACGGAATGAGATGGAGAATTGTCAGTAGACTGGAGGCAAATCAATCAACATTGCAAGTGGCTACAAAAGTAATTGTAGCCTATCAACACAGAAAGAAGCGCATTGAATAAAGAGTTTATTGAATAAAGAGAGTGTAAAACAGCTTCGCATTCAAAATTAACCCTGCACGTTTTAGATGACAAAACTTATAAGGAGTTAGAGGACAAGGGTTTTCATTTAGTTTTTCCTTCAAATCATATTTTCATAATATATATATGTGTGTGTGTGTATGTATGTGTGCTGAAAGCAAAATTTAGAAGCACTGATGAAAGAACAGAAGACATAGAGGATTGATCCATACTGAAGAGGAAGAAGTCGGGGCGGATTAAATTCCACTTTTATTTTAAATTGACAATTAACTTGTGACTATTCCTGTGCCTGTGCCACCTGCGCCTTTGCCTGTAATACCATCTAATCATGCCTATTTTCAGAACATTTACATTTTCGAACTGTATTTTGATAGGAAGAGAGCACAGCGGCGTCTAAGCAGCACAGAAGGGGAAGTTAAAAGTACGCATTTATCCAATATGGCCGTCTGTTAGGGTAAAGGTTTTGATTTGTGTTAGGAAGGTTTCAGCTCCCAGAGTTTAGGTTCCCAATTATCTACGTCATAAACGTTACGCAAGCTTTGTGGAATAGATAAATGGAGCAGTCCAGAAGTGTTATTATTATTTTTTTTTTGGAATAAAGAGGAAATAACTGAACGATGAGTTGAAAGGCTATTACTAAATTAAATTATAAAGCTGATTTACATATTTTTTTTAAAATATATTTAGTCGATAGGAGTCAAACCTGTGCGAGGAAACCCCAATGAATTTCTGGTCCATTGCCTTAACCACTTGGCCACGACTGCAAAATGTTATGATTATGATATTCAAGCAAGTATTCTAAGAACTGTGAACGTTTACGGTTATTTTTGAAATCATTAGGACCCTTTTTGCAATATGTTTACCGAAAAACTAACTTGCAGACTTTCAAAATTTCAGTAGCATTTTCAGTTTGCATTTATTATTAAAAATGATGGTTACAAGATTTTTTTTTTATGTTAAAACATATAGATTAAAATTTTATGATTACTTTTTCAAAATTGTATTTTCTTTGTTTCGTTACTGCTTTAATGCTTTCTTCTAAAAAGGCGCCGTTTCTGTCGCCAAACCTTTTTCTATTTGAAGGGGGGATATGTAACATACAAAATATATAAATAAGCTTTATAATTCAATTAAGTAATAGCCTTTTAACTACTCGTTTTTAATTTTGGCTATTTCCTCTTTATTCTAAAAAAATAATAATATTTTTGGACTGCTCCATTTCTAGACAAATCTATGCCACAAAGCTTGCTGATGATGTAGTTAATTGGGAACCTAAACTCTGAGAACTGAAACGTTTCTAACGTAAACCAAAACCTTTCTTTTAACAGACTGCCATATTGGATAAATGGGTACTTTTAGCTTCACCCTCTGTGCTGCATAGCCTCCGCTGTGCTCTCTTCCTATCGTAATAGTATTCAAAAATGTAAATGTTCTGAAAATAGGCATGACTAGAGTGCCAAGTGAAATGTGGCTACAAATGGGAATTTAAATAAAAATGGAATTAAAATCGCTTCGAATGCCATGTTTCTGTGTGATTGCGAATTCCACGTTCTAAGAATCAATCATCTACGTCACCGGTATTTCTGCGTTTCCCACGTTTCAATGTTTTCTCATCAGTACTTCTAAATTTTGCTTTCACAAATATATGCATTTTATTGATATATTGTAATTCTTAGCAGTTCATGATGTTCAGCATTCCTTGAACATACAGAATACAACTTAAATATTTTTCTTTTTTTTTTTTTTTTTTTTTTTTTTTTGTTCAATGTTATTATCGCGATTTGTTGGATGAACTTAAACATCCGCAATGCGTCATTTGCGGCTGATAAAACGTCAGAGTTTCCCTTTAATCAGCAATAAGAACAATCCTGACGCATCAGTGGACTTTGCATGAACAGTTGAGCGCCCACATGTTTTTAGATACATAAAAAATAAAGGGGTATTGGGTAAGTTAAAATGCCATAGATTACTAGACGACAGCTACATTAATAAAAACGCTTCTATTTATGTGAATTTTTTTTTCAGCTAGGACTTTTACTTGGTGTTTATCATGAGACTACTCTGTGTTTTGCCGATAATCGCTGCAGTTCTCGTATCAGGTATTTAATTTCTTTTCTATATTTTCATAGTCTGTATTCTAATAAAACGCTACAGTATTATAGTATTAAGGGGACTCCGTACCCCAAAATAGATGAAATTACCGATGTTATGCTAAAATAATAACCTTAATACCCTTACTACACCGAACAGAAATTTTGAAAAACATTCTGACGATAAATAAATGGTATATAAAGGGTTTTAAAAATTTCGACAGCCCTTTAAATGCCACACCCCGTCAATGATTATTTCTTTTACTTCTTAATTGTTTCAGAAACTTATTAAAAATCAATGTGAAAGAAGAGGAATGTAATTAAGTAAGACTGCAATTATCAGTAAACTCTGTATTTATGTATAAACTGATTTATTTAAATACTAAGAAGTTGGAAAAAAACTAATTTTTTACTTTTAAACTGACAGGTTTATATATATATATATATATATATATTCAGCTCAGCAAATATATCTATTTGTACTATTATCAGTCAATTTTGCTCTGATGCTTCAAAAATGGAAATTATCTGAGACAATACACGAAAAGAGGTGGCGTAGTGAAAGTAATTAAGTTCGTGCTGGAAGAAACATTAAACTCTTTAATTAATTAAAATACACCTAAATTAATTTAAAACGCAATTTATATATGAGAACAAATGGCTAAATGAAGAGAAGAAATAATATATACTGCTGAGCATTTTTAGTAAAATATTTTATGTCTGTTCAAATTTCAAATTTTGCTTTTTGAAAAAAAGATTAAAACGACAAATGAATACTATTAATATCGATTATAAATGTTTTCGAATATATCTTATAATTAATTCATATAGTTTCGAACGTGTTTCACAAAACTAAAAACAGGTAAAAAAAATCTACTTGTATTTTATGATTTGTGCTCGATATTTTTGGACAGATAAGGTTTTAAATAAAAGCTCGTAATTTATGTTTTTATTAACCAATTGGATAGTACTATGTTTTATTTCATATATATATGTATTGAAATTCACTAATAAAACTTTTAAGAAATTTTAGATGATTTAATGACCATTTAGACAGTTTACAATCTTTAAACTGTTCTGAGTTTGCATTTCTTTTAATAAACATTTTACTTAAAATCCTAACACTTGTACAGATATGGACTAAATTATTTAATATTTTTTCCGCTTGTTTAAAAATTACGCGCTTAATTGAAAGAAGGACGGGTTTCTCAAAATTCTGAGAAGAAAAAATATCGGAAGTTAAAATGTGGTTGAGATCATATTTTCTTTTTAAGTTTTTACATAAAAATATGGTTTTACTTTTTTTCTCAGAAACTAATTTACGAATTGCAAAATTAATCATTAATGTTATTAAGAACACTCTAATAAATACAATAAAAAATTTCGAGATAAAACATTGAAAATTGTAGGCGAAGAAAGGCATTTTAATTGTTAAATTTTTCTTCAAAAAACTTAAATTAAACAAAATTACTGGCAAAAGTTTTTTTCAGCTTAAAATTATATTGTCTTACAAAACCATTTAATAATATTCATTAAAAGTAGATAAAAGTTCTTAAATAAAAAAATAGCATTCAAAAGGTACCCAAACTCCTTGAGTGATGTATGTATAATTTTGTAATTAAAATTGCTATTCATTCTTGGTACGTTTACAAATGTAAAAACCTTACAAGGTTTATCCTAAGTTTTTAACATTATTTAGTTATTTTAAGTTAGAGCTCCTTTCCTGTCTCTCCTAAGCAACTACTTAGAATTTGGATAGTTTTGGCTATATCTCTTTAGTTAAGCATTAGTTAAGTTCTTATTTATTACTATTTTGAGTTCAAGTCCACATGGAGGCTTTCCTGTACGCCATGAGAAAGGGGCCAACTGTTCATTCTTATTTTGAGCAATAACGGGTAATTAACCCTTCTCGAGTCTTACGAGTTGCTGAACTTAAGCGATTATTCACTTAGATGTTCACTAGGTTCCTGCACATTTAGTTGTTAGATAAAAAGGTGGAATCTCACACATTTATTGTTAGAAGGCTATATTAACACAAACAGCAAATTTAATTGGAGAAAAGTTGTCAGAGATTTCGTTATAAAGGCAAAAATCTTTATAACGCTGCCAGGACATAGTGGAATTTCTTTCCTCTTAAATAATCTCTATCTCTACATATAATAAAAGGAAGAGTTCCCGTGTGTGTCTTTCGTTCGTTCTGCGCGTAAGCTAATAGACCCAGGGCTACGAAATTTAGTACATAGGTGCATCTAGACAAGAGCCAGTGCACCTCAAAGCGATTTTTTTCAAAATTTGAATCAGATTTTTTTTAATTTGATCTTTTTTGATGAAATCGCATTACTTGGAATAGTTTCCTTCCTTTAGAAATGTAGTTTTGGCAACAGTTTTTCATTCAGTGCTTTGTATACTGGACTGCTAACTTTTGAAAATATGAGATGAAATATTTATTGCGTATTTCCCTGTTTTTAAGATATTGAAAGGGTTAGTATGATTTTTTTGCAACGGGAAGTTGGTTAATTTATTTATTAGGATAATTAATATCTGTATTAAGGGATATTGCTTATTTCATGCTACTTATTTTCTTTTGATTTTTGAACACGCAACGCGTAAATCGCAATCTTCTTATTCTGACGCGCATGTGCCCCGCGAGGCACAACAGAAAGAATTTCCTTAATTTTACTCGCTCTTTCTTAGCTAATGGCAAAGAGGTTTGTATATTTCGAATTATGTCATTCATAAAGAATAATTTTGATTGGTTATTGCTTTCTGATGATAGTTTCTTTCTTTTAGAAATGTGGTTTTGGCAACAGTTTTTCATTCATTGCTTTGGATACTGGACTGCTGACTGTTTTCTCTTGAATATATAAGATTTATTGCTTATTTCATTGTATTTTTTATATATGTTTTAATTACATATTATTTTAATTATATAAAAAGTTTTGCATGATTTGTTTAGGAAACAAAGTACTTAACTTCCTTTATACCATTTGAATTTTCAAGAGTTACGACAGGAAGTTTGTTAATTTATTTAGCGGCTAGTTAATAATATAAAAATAATGACAAAAATAATAATTATTTAGACTATGCAATGTATTTAAAAGTGTGTTTATTATATTTTAATAAAACTTTACACTATCCTAGAATTTTATCATTATAAGATTTCTAATTTTAAAGTTGTGTTAAAGATTATCTTTTCTATTTATTTATTCATTTATTTAGTTTTGTAACTACTACATTTCATAGAAAAGATGTTTACTGTAATCACGTTAGTAAATATCAATTAATTACTGTTATCACTGAAACGTTTCTATGTAATTTAAATTTCCTTTGCTAAAACTTACATTAATTTGTTAAGTGGATATCAAGAATGAAACGACGGGACTGAATGTTTAAGAGAAATTTCAACTAAAATGAAGGAAAAGTTAATAATCCACGCTTCAGATTGTTTCCATAATCTGTTTTATTCATCTTCAAAATAATTCATTATTAAATTAATTAATAAAAAATTGAATTTTTAATCGAATTAAAATTAGAATTCATTGATTAATTAATAAAAATTCATTGAATAGAATGAAATTTTAAATGTTTAAGAAGAAATTTTCAGCTTTGAAATTTTGTCTGAAATAATTGCACTTAATACCAGTTTTCATCACAGGGGAATGCAGAGTCTTCAGTTCATTGTTCAATGATTCAGATGACAAAGAAATAGACACTAATTGTCTGGATAAAGACGTCGACGCCTATTTAGATAAGGTGTTGGAGAGGGCCAGAAAGGAACTTCCAGATCCAATGCGATTACCACCACGATCGACAATAGTGGAACTGCACGAGGGCGTTCTTTGGGGAATGTCTACACTCGAAAGATCAGGACCGAGTAAAGTAACATGCGAAAACTCGACGGTCACGATAAGTGGAAAATTAACTGTGGAGGAACTAAAGGTACAAAAAATACTCTCTTATCCTCTATTCCATCTTTCCTACAATTTATTCAAATATCTTCCTGCATTCATTAGCAGACAACTCTGTGTCATACTGGCTGTTAAAAATACTTAAATATTTGTAGAGACATTAGGTATTTTTTAGAAGAAAGAGAGTTTGAAAAATTAGCAACGCCTTCGCCGGGAATCGAACCACGGACCTATGGATACCGGCCCAGCGTACAGACCACTACACCATGAAGGCACGCTAGGAAAGTGGGATATTACAATATATCCCACTCCAAAGTGGGATATCAATGTATACCTTATATATTGATCCTTAATATATTTTATTTCCAGTTTCAAAGTTTCTCATTACCCCTTACGATCTTGAAATCTTAATTTTTTTAAAAGAGGTATACATATTGTTGTGTTCTACGGATTCGTGGATTTGGAGTGAATGATAACAACACTTGATGAAGAATGAAAACACAATTATTACACAATTATAATATAGTTGTTACGCCAGTATGACACAGGGAAGTCCTAAAGGCATGTTTACAGTTATCGAAAAACAGCGATAAACACGTTGAAACAATCAGCAGCACAGCCTTCAGGCTACAACGGTGAAGACAGCTTCACGGCAAAGCACTAAATTAACGGTGAAGACAGATTCACGGCAATGCACTAAACAGTGACAACAGCTTCACGGCAAAGCACTAAAAAACGGTGAAGACAGCTTCACTAAACTAAGCTGTACTAAACTGCTAAAGTTTAGCTCCCGTACTAAGTACTAAGGTACAGGTATAAAGTACTAAAGTACAGCTCCCACAAGCTGCAGTGAAGTACAGCTTCCGATTTATTATTTAGAGTATCCTTTATACCTTAGAACCTTGTATTTATATTTAAGGAAATTAAGTAACGAAGAATCTACATAAATGCATGTATGCTTCTCGCATTGTGATAAAACAACGATACCTAGAGCCATCCAGTTCTGAATAACCGCGTCTCCACCCGGATATGGGCATCTGAAAGCCCAAGTTTATAATTTTGTTTTATTATCTATTTCATACTTTGCAAAACTTTAACGAATTTTTGATTAACAAACTGAACAATTTCAAAACGAACAATGGCAGCACTATACGAAGAAAACAAAACATTTCTATCTCCAGCGCGCGAGACTATGCATCGAAAATTCTAAAGATATGCTTTTTTTAAAAATTATTTTGTGATATCTCTGTTGAGTTTTATGTCTTAAGTGCGAAGAACATGATATTTAGTAGATAAAGATAACACACAAAACGTTAAAAAAATGCCCTTTCTGCGTAATGTAAAATCTAGAAAAGTTCAAACTTTTTTCTTTTTTACTTGAATCTAATGTTTTCAAAAACTGGTCTTTATATTATTTATTAGCTTATTATTTTCAGAATCTTATAATGGATGTGAATAACAATAATAATAATTGACGCTTGAAAATTTCTTGTCTTTAGGGCCGTTATACTTGGAAAAAGGAACGTAAAAACAATGATGCCAAGGAAGGTTACATTGTTTTCATCTCGGATGATTTCGAAGCCGATGTCGAGATCGTCATCGAGAGGCAGGAGGGCGAAGAGACTCATCCCCGCCTTACACGCTTCGAAATCAAAAAATTCAAGAAAGCCAGAATAGAAATGACAGGCGGTTTCTTACCATGGCTTTTGGGTGAAATGGGAACTCTTATATCCGGAATTTTCCAAAGGGCTATCGGCTGGGCCGTACAAGATCCTCTCAAGGAAGCTCTGGAAAGGCAGATGCGGGATATATCGCTTGATTAAAGCCAAACAAATGTTAAGTTTACTGACACTGAAGTTGCCTGTTATTGTTTACGTCTGTAATATCTAATAAATAATGATTTAAGCTTTGATGAAGATCACATATGATCATATACGATTCCGTATCTGCACATGTAGTTATTATAGTTCACTTTGTTTAATGTGTTCATGATTTTTAAAGAACAAATATCACATCAACATCCAAGAAATTAACACTATAGATGCAAAATGGTAATAAAATACCAGTTCAGAACTAAACACAGTGCAGAGTTCTACAAAATTTTAAAGGGGTTAGTACAGGTAGATCATGATTCCTTTACGACAACACTTCTTTTTTTTTATAAAATTTAACTTGAGATTTCATTTTGGACAGAGAAATAAAAAAAGCTGATATGTACATCACACAACTTCCATGGACGGAATATTAAATTATACGCATTACTTCCTGCATTTCATTTAAACTTATTTTCTCGAATTTCATTAGAGATATATTTATCATTCAATTAATTCAATTCTCACCTTGCGGGAAAGAAAAAATACATAAAATATCAAAATATTTTCATCAAAATTTGACATAGAAAAATATGAAACACCAAATACAGTTAAAACAATTAAAAAATGATTCAAATTAAAGTTTCTAAGAAAATTCAAACAATTCGGCTAGTAGGCAAGAAGGCAGATTTTCTGGTGCACAAAACTAAAAGTTTTGTTGTGGTCCCACTCGGCAAAAATACGCTGAATGTGCAGAAAGACTTAATCCACTATTTCGCTAAATTTCAAATGTAAAAACATATGGCTGCTAGGGTAAAAAAAATTAGGCTTAGCCACACTTAAACAACTTTAAATTATTCATAATTCTACAACTATTGATGCAGATTAACTAAAGGCATAAAAACTTTAATCGGAAGATAAGAACAACATAAGCCATTTTTGAAGGACAAAATGCACAATTTACCAACATATAAGAATGGAAAAAAATGAGCTCACGAGTCAAGTAGCAGAGTGAGAATATATATATATATATTTATGCACTTTTGGTGCGGCCGTTTGCAACCAAAAATGGAGGTACTCAACTACATGTTATAACAGTCCTATATACAAAATTTCAACGTTCTGAAGCCAGTCGTTTTTGAGTTACGCAAGATATATACATACGTACGTACAAACGCCACGAAAAAAGCTTTTGTGAATCCATTTTAAATCATTTTTATAATTCATTTGGAGAAAACGTTTCCTTTATTGTGCCCTTTCGTATAGATGTCACGCAAAAACATTGTTAAATTGCATTTGATAGCGGTCAAAATAGATATTTTCGTTGAACTATGGTACCCGGAATTTTTCGTGATTACAATACTTCCTTTACTTCGTACAAGGAAGTAAAAATGATTATTGTAGGTACTTGAGGACTGCTGGCCCTAGAAGAGATGCTTCCATACATCTTGTCTTCATGGAAGACAGTTCAGGAAAGGTTGATTAGACATCATCTTTACCGGCAGCTTTTCTGGGTTGAGTGATCCAATTGTGGAATTCACTTCGTGCGGAGAAGCCAAATCTGCAACATGCGAGCACATTCCCTCTCTTCAGCCTCATATAATTTTCAACCGCCCGCCGAGATATTTCTAGTACTTTCTGCTTCTCGAAATTACTTGGAGGCAATACGAGGGTGGAATTACGGTTACATTTAGTCAATTTCAATACATATTACGGTGATACAAGGACCGGACACAAATATAGCCAAATAGCCACCGAATACGGCGACTTTTGGCGATTTCTCGCCAAATTTAGCATTAAAGTAAGTCGCCAAAACCATTGTTAGTTTGGCGATATCTCGCCAAATTACCGAGATACCCGTCTACTCAATGATAAATGCACTTGCCCCTGTGTTTTTACTTTTCCGGCATAGCTTTACTTTAGATTTTTCATGTTACAAAAAAAAAAAAAAAAAAAAAAAAATTAAATAATGAAGAACCTGCATGAATGTATGTATGTTTCTCGCATTGCGAAAACACAACGGTACCTACAGAAATCAGATTTTGAATAACGTAGTTCTCCACTCTAATAGGGGCATCTGGAAACACACGTTTGTAATTTGGAATTTGTTTTATTATCTGTTCCATATTTTGTAAAACTTTAATGAATTTTTGATTATCAAACTCAACGATTCAAAGCGTTCCATTAACATTAACATCGCGTGCATCTTCAAGCACGGATATTTTATGCGCGAGGTTTCCTTACATTTCTTACTGGTATGATATTGGTAACGTAGCGACGCAAAGGCATTACAGTGTCTAAAGGCATTTTGCGCCGAATGATTTTGAATGTCTGTATCACTTTTCAAATCCCGTTTGCGATCTCCCTTCCCGGGAAAAAACGTCCACTCGAATATGAGCATCTGAAAGCCAGAATTTGGAGTTTGTTTTATTATCTATTTCATATTTTGTAAAGCATTTATGAGTTTTTGATTAAGAAACTCAACGATTTCAAAGGGAGAAATGGCAGCATTGTACGAAAAAGAATTTTTATCTCCAGCGCACGAGAGTGTGTATCGGAAATTCTAAAGCTATGATGTTTTTAAATATTTTGCGATATTACTGTTGAAGTGAATTTGATGGTTTAAGTGCGAAGAACATGATTTTTAATAAATAAATATAACACACAAATGTTAAAAAATGGCCCCTTTGGGCGCAATGTAAAATCTGAAAGCTCTCGGATTTTTATTTATTTATTTATTTATTTTTTCGAAAATTTTTTTTATATTCAGATCGAAAGCAAAAGTCAAAACGTATCAAACCTATCTGCTGGCCTGCCTGAAATTAGTTCTTGCTATCAGACTCTATCCTTAGCAAAATTTGAGTGGAATATGACAAATGATCAACTGTATTAATAACAATAATCAAAAATATAAAAATTTTACTTTCCCTCTATGTTCTTCCAAGCATAGAAAAAGTCACGCATCAAACGAAGCTGCTGAAACCCATTTTTATACTATTAAGTCAAAATGGCTGGAGAACAAGCTGACACTTCTGCTTAAAAACGAAAAAAATAAAAAAGCATAATTGTTTGAAAATTGCTTCATAGGAAAATGCTATCAGCCAGAAGGAAAAAAAAAAAAAAAAAAAAAAAAAAACATAATATTTCTATATTCGGTCTAATAACTGCGAAAGTGAAATACATAGAAAGAAGGAAAAAATTTGGATGTAGACAATAGAAGATTAATCATTCGAAAGAAAAAATTAATTTAACTATACTTCCCGCAGAAAGAAATAATTATAAGCTGCATTTTTAAAAATTACTATGCATCATTTGGACAATAAAATAACATAAGAAATATCTTCTGGCGACAGAACTGTTGCCTTTTATTATCTAGAAGTCACATTTTCCCATAAAAACAGAAGAATGAGATTTCTGACATGATGAACTGTATATCAAAAGATCATTTATTTTTAATTAAACACGGTTTGTTTTATTTCTTCTGCAGATTTTCTTCTTCACATTTTTTGGACACTCAGATGTTATCCTCTTTGTAGTGCTAATAGTGCTGTAATTTGCTTAAAAACTGTTACGTTAAGTCTTTCAGACAGTATCAAAGCTTAAATTGAGTCTGACCCCACCGGAGTTGGGTTTCAGTACTTCTTAGTTTTTAGGATAAATCCTAATTTCTAGCTCGAGCTCACCACAGATCTAAATAAGAAATTTCTAGCACTTTTTTACTTCCTCGTACGAAGTATTTTAATCTAAAAAATTTTCGAGTATCATATTTCAAGGAAAATATCCATTTTGACCACTATCGAATGCAATTTAACGATATTTTTGCGTGACATCTGTACGTAAGGACAGGATAAAGAACTCTTTTTCCCAAAATGGCTCGCAAAAAGGATTCAAAATGAATTCAGAACAGATTTTTTCGTGAGATACGTATATATGCATGTATGTACCTCGCATAACTCACAAACGAGTAGCCTTAGAACGTTGAAAGTTTGTATATAGGACTGCTATAATATGTAGTTGTGCACTTCCCATTTTGGTTGAAATCAGTCGCACTAAAACTGTATAAATATACGCATACCGATTCTGTTACCCTACTCGATGAGCTCAAAAGTTTTATTCTTATGTGTTTGATAAATTATAAATAATATAGTTTATTATAACTGTATCTTTCCAAGAATGAAGAGATTTTTCGTGACGTATGTACGTACGTATGTATGCATGTATCTATGTAGTTGTATGTATGCAGTTGTACACCTCCGCTTTTGGTTGCAATCAGCGGCACTAAAAGATGCAGATACACACACACATATATATATCCATTCTGTTACTTACCTCCGTGAGCTCAGTTTTTTTATTGTTATATGTTGGTAAATTGTGCATTTTTTGCTTTAACAATGATTGAATTATTTGTTATTCTCTTGCGGTTAAAGTTTTTATGCCTTTAGTTAATCTGCACGCTAGAATTATCAAGAATTAAAAGTTGTTAAGTGAGGCTAAGCCTAAATATTTTAGCATAGCAGCCATATTTGTTTACATTTGAAACTTAGCGGAATAGTGGATTCAGTTTCTGCACCTTCTGTGTCTTTTTGCAGAATGGAACCAAAAGTAGGCTTTTTAAGTTTTGTGCACGGAAAAATCTTTCTTCTTGCCCGCTGGCCGAATTGCTCGGTATTGCGAATTGCGTAGAATCTCTAATTTTAATTGTAATTTTTTAAAAATAATTTTAACTGCATTTGGTGGTTTAAATTTTTCTATATTTTTCAGTTTTGAGGTTTTATGTGTTTTTGCCTTGCCGCGATGTGAGAACTGAATTAAATGAATGAGATATATATCTCTAATGAAATTCGAGGTAATAAGTTTAAATGAAATATAGCAAAAAATGGGTATCATTTAACATTCCGTGCAATGAAGTCATGTGGTGTACACATCAGATTTTTTAACAATGTTTTAAAATTTTGAGATTTAAATTCGAAGATCAGCATTTTTTATTCAAGTTAAGGCAGGATTGTTTGCTTGTGTAAACCCAAGTGGGGTTGACTTGTAGAGTCATTAGGATTTTTGGAAGCAGAAAAGATGAAAAATTAGCAACCTCCTTCGCCGGGAA